CTGGAACTTATTTACACCTAAACATAATGACAACGCATAATGATATTATATTAATATCTACAGTGACAGTAATATATAGTGTTAGAGTCCCATTTTATAAATTTAACTCGTTTATTTGTATTAGTCACTTATTTAATTGGTTGTTTTTACAATTCTTCACATATTTACATACATTTTACACATAGAATATTATCAAACATGTACTTAACAGTTACTTAAAGGTACACACAATGTTTTATAACTGAAAGGGAATTAAGCCAAATAAAAAAAAAATTATAATCGGTACACAAATGAAAGAGTTTTGAGCTAACAAACATGAAAATAATTCCGTCACGAACATTTTTTTTGTCTAAATGTTTTGTTATCTCATAAATTACTCTTTTGTGCACATATCTCAACACAAACGCCTAACAAATATCTAAGAATAAAACAAGGTCAATACCTACATGATTAGGTTTTTGAAATAGTTATTTTCTAACTAAAGGTTTCTACTAAAGGTCAAGGATCCTTCCATTATCAGCTCAGCAAATTGACATAACGACTAAACCCAAATACCTAGAGCTAAAGTTAGAGAAATAAGCTAAAACATGTTGTCGGGGCTGTAAAATTTGAGGGTTTCCCTCGATTTCTCTAGGATCCCATAATCAGATTCTGATTTGGTGATAATGGGACCACCACGGGAGCATACCCATTCGATTACAAAAATAGTTTTGAAAATCGGTCCACAATTTACAGAGATATTGTGTAACAAACATACAAAAAAATACAGTAGAATTGAAAACCTCCTCTTTTGTGTTTTTGTCGGTTAAAATATCTTTCATGACAGTTGTGAGATCGAAAGTTCGATCGACAGTTGCGATTCGAGGCAGAACTTTAATTACGAGAATTGGTCTTTAGGTGCTCTTGCGGCACTTTATGAGATCGCTACAATCTTACATATTAATAACTATAAAAAATAATTTATTTTTCTAAATTCTTGCAAAGTAACTTAGTAAATTACTGCACACAGTAAAACGTGAGAGTGGCTAGTGCTCCTACAATTGAATTAGCAATCGGCAGTGCCACTTACTGGCCACTTTAACTTGGTCCACTCTCCGTATGGCTCTTACTAAATGGTCCGATAATGGCTACCCGCGTAAATTATTATAAATCCAGCTCTAATGGCAGCGTTGAGAAAAGGTTAGGGATTTGGTATTGTTTGTTTATAAAGGGAGTTATTCAGTATTTCAGTATCAGGATAATTATAACGTGTGATAAATACAGGGGGAGGGAAGGAATTCATGAAGCTAAATTTGTGTGTTATAAGTTGAAATTATATAGGTACAATGTTGAATTTAGATTTTAAACTTAACTATGCTGATATTTTTTTGGACATCTAACACACAACGCCATCTAGTTTCGAACTAAGCAGGGCTTGTAATATGAAAGCTACGAGTAGATTGATATTGTACATAGAAAACACCCTAACTTCGAAACAAATATTTGCAGATAATACAAACATTTGGTCAACAACCGCTAACGAGTCAATTCTATGCTTGACTACCAATGTTCATTGCTAACCATAAATAAGTTACATTTATGTCACATCACACATCAATAGCCCTTAATAGTCCACTGCTGGACATAGGCCTCTCCTGAGAAAGAGATAATGTGAGAGAGATTTGTGTAAAGAGTTTCATTGTTAACAACCTCTTTCTACAATAGCCAAACGTCAAAATAATCCTATTGGTGGGCTTAAACTCAAATATATATATAGAAATATATATAATATAGTATAAGTCTAATCTATTTCCCCAAAGAATTTTCTTGTTTCCAAAAATGGTTCCTTAAATTTATTGAGAAACTATAACTAATCCTTATACCTAAAGTTGCATGCTCTAACAATGTATTCTGCCAATAATGATAGAATGTTCTAGTAATTTATGACCATATGAAATTCATGGCTATCGTTACAACCCTGAGCAATGAACGGGCAGAGATTTTATCCATCGAATATTTCAGATATTAACAACTTTATTAGGGCTGATATTACATTCTACGCTAGTTAATTAACGCATAGCACGAAGAAAATTGTTGTATGGATCGTTTGGCTTAAGGATTTCTAATTAGATTAGAGGTTAATAATATTTATTAACTAGGTATCTAGATACGAATACGAGACAGACATACTCGTATTGCTAGTCCTAACTTAATACTTCATGCGGCGGTTTTTAGGTTATTTTGTTAAAAAATTAACAACTTATCTATTTATATAATAATAATAATAAAAATAAATCTTTATTGTCACAAAAATTATACAGTTCACAAGGGTTCACACTTATAATTTGACACAATTAAATGTATTGTGCTTTAGGCACTGATACTGTCTCCCAAACTAAGCGAAGGCTTGTATTTTGGGTGGCAGTTTTCAGTCGTGTATTATAAATTACAACTATCTATTACCCAATTGCTATTGAGTGGGTATGTGTATAGGTGAGTGTGTGTTAGTATGGGTGTTTGTATAAAAGTATGTGTGTGATTTTGTTTTTTTTTCGTCTATGAGTTATGTGCTTGTATATGGTGATGTTTGTGTGTATGTTACGCAATGTATCTCAGTAGTTGTTCAGTTTTGTTATAATCCATTTTTAGAAGCCAGTCTGTAAGAGTGGTTTTGAGTTTGTGGTTGTTTAGGCCTGCGATGTTAAGTTCCTTGTGTATCTCGTTGTATAATTTTATGCTTATGCTATTAAATTGTCTTCTGGCAAAGGATGTTTTGCAGGGAATGCGTGGGCATAGAGACATCCCGCTGCAGACATTTAAACGATTTTTGTCCTATGTAATACATAGGGCTTTACATAGGTGCCGAAATTTTAAAGTTTTTCAAACATTAAAACCTTCTACCAATCGATTCATTGATAAATATGCATTTGTTTAAATAGTCAATAAAAAACAGGTGCTTTTTGCGTGCTGTGCGAGTGGATGGGGTAGCCACCGTAGTCCAGTCTGTCAGTCCAAATTCAGACCTACGTCAGCTCTGAATTTGCAAAAAAAATATGACCAAGGGTGCTTTTATTATATTATACGCATTTGAGGACGCTGATTACGGGAAAAAAAAAGATAAAAAAAAAATTATGGGTCAATGTTAAAATTGTATTTATAAGTTCAATTTACTAATTTATTTATTTATTTTCATTAATAACTTCTTGCACAAATATGTACATCGGCGCACTTAATGCCTAAAGCATTCTTTGTCAGTCGACCGATTGGGCGACGCAGTGAAAGAATGAGGGAAGTGCACTTATGGAGAGGTAATAAATGATGGGATTTTTTTAGTGTACATCCATTTTCTCCTTGGAATAGAGAAATATAAGCAATAAAATATACATTTACGAAATATACACATAAATATATACATACACACGCATACATACATATTTTATAGTAAAATAGAAAAATTGTAGATGATGAACTAGGAGTCTGTTGACTCCACCAATTCGCCCAGCAAAAGCTCATTTCTTTTCATCTTAAAAGAGTGATGATTTGTAGCCATCCTGATCTCGACAGGAAGCGCATTCCACAAGAGGATAGACTAAACAACGAAGGAAGAGCCGACCAATCCAGTAGTGTGAGAAGGACAAAGTAGAAAGAGATTGTTAGACGAACGAAGGTTTCTGTTGTGGGTATTGCATAAGAGTAAAAATTGTGGTGTTAAATAAGTAGGAGGGGTTGGGCCATTGAGGGTGTGTCAACGCTAGTCGACGAATTGGACTGCAGACATGGTCAAAGATAAATCGAAACCAGTTAGTGAGAGGACGATCTGACTTGTTGAGAAGATCTGCATTCAGGTCTATGTCTAGCAGTTGACTATTAAAGGCTGTTGATGTGATAGACAATTTGTCTGAAACAAGTGCCACCTCTCAGCCAGAAAGAAGCACGATATTGACTGCAGTGTTGCCGTTCTAGCGACAAAACACCTAGATCTAGGGGATATTAAAAATATATAGCAAGAATTTTATTGGTTTAAACGGTTTGGCTGTATAATTTATTTTTTGTCTTTTGGGGACTTTAAACGTAGACGTCAAAATTATGATAAGCCATCTTTATTTTGAAGCTTAAAATAGTAATTAAACACTTGTCTAATCTCAAAACATAACACAATCGTGCCTTGATGAACCTGATTTATTGCAAAGGGGAATCTCCCTACCATAGACAGATACACATTGTTACAGTGTGTTCTATTTTTCAAGCTCACGGTTTACAAGAGTGAGTGTGAGGTCAAAAATTACCTTGGTACACTGTTTTAAAAAATAAAACTATTTCGTTGCGTTGTTGGTTTGTTGTTTGCATAGTTGAAAGTTGATGTCATAATTTCTTACTGTATGAGTTGAAATTGAAGAATCATGGAAACTCCATTAACAAAAAAGGTATATATACAGTCAAAATTACAGAAAAGAATGGGAAAATGCCAATGAGTTCAAACATTGGCTAAAACTTGTACCAGGTGACTCCACGAAAGCATTTTGTAGCTATTGCTATTCAAAAACGTATGCAAAACTGAACGATTTGAAGAAGCATTTAGAACCTTAAAAACATAAAGCTAAAAGTGAATTGATTTAAAAAATAAATAAGCATAAGACATTATTCACAAGACCAGGGAGGATTTGAAGCCTTCAGCAAGAGTTAAGTGTACCTTAACTTTGTATATTGCAAAACAGCACGACTGCAGCTATGTATTGGTGGTTAAATGCTAACTTACGATTTTCCGATTAACAACTGCCATCAGTTCTTGGGCAAACGGTTTTTTTCTAATCTAGAGTAACTGCAAGAACCAGCTAGCGACTTTTATTTTTGTTCAAGGGCAAGACTGATGACTGACACTTGACATTTCACTTAATTTGACAGTTTAACAAATGACGTGTTGTTTACACTAAGATTTGTTTTCGTCTATATAGTATTTTATTTATTTAGACAAATATATACCTAATATTTAAAATTGTTAAGAGATACAAGAAGTGTTAATAATGTTGAAAGCAGTTATTCTAATTGGAGGGCCTCAAAAAGGTAAATAATACTTTTTATTACGCTACGTCACCGGCTTTGATATAGATAACTGCAATAAAATGTAAAAATTACTCGCACTACATACGTAAAAATTAAACAAAAGATATTTATAGGTTTTCCTTTTTACAACACCTAATATAAAGATGTATTTTAGTTCTAAACTTTTCTTAGAAAATAGTAGGGTTATGGTATATAAACAGATTTAAGCTTGCATATTAAAAGGTAATAATGCACTTTTAACAATAGAATCCTGAGACACACCAGCTTTAGATGCTGCAGCGATGTACCACTACGTTCCTTCTCACTGAATCAATTTCTTTGCACATTTTATGGTAACGAAAACTTTATGTAGCTATCTACTTCATAGAGGTGCTATATGTAAAGTAAACAGCCTATTACATCAGCTTATCTGTGTGCGATCATCATGGTTATGTCCCTTCATAGTCATGCAAAAAGATTGGCAGCCTTTTGTTTAATTAAAAAATGTGAACATAGTAACTTTTTAATTACCTACACATAAGTTTATCATTAGAGGAAAGTCACCAAATATGGAATAGTACCCTAATATGGAATTCCTTCATTTCTCTAAGACTATAAGTATGAAACGCAGCACTCGACCATCTTCTGTTTCATTCGGTCTACTAACTATCGCACTCACACTATCGAGACAGTTGCGCGAACCCTTCACGTGTGGCAGGCATGTTTTGTTTTGTTGTCGTGCAGAAAATTTTAAAGGTAAGTAATAAATTAGTATTACCAGCTGTTATGTTTATATACATAAGTGTTCTACTATTTAGTATATCGGTATTATGTTTATTTCACCATTTTGTGATCTTTTGTCATTAAAATATTGTGACTTGAAAACATATTTAGAAGAGTATGAACTAGTATAAAAATCCAAATATGGACAGTTGTCGGTGTCTAATTATGGAATATTCCATAATTAGGTCAAGTTCTGGTATGACTGATTAGTAAAAACATTAAACTGATTTAATTTATATGATTTTTTTTTTTATATTCCAAAAACAAAATGGTATTCCATATTTGGTGACTTTCCTCTATATATTATCATCATCATCAACAGCCTATAACAGTCCACTGCTGAACACAGGCCTCTTCTGAGAAAAGAGTGTTTCTATATATTATGAATTTACAATATTAATTATACATAAATTTAGTATTTACTTTCTTTAATTAATTTCATCACTTTGTACTTTCGTACAGTACAAGTTAATACTTGTAAAGTTAAAGTTTTATTCAAATTTAGTACAGAACAATTTAAGATAAAACTGTCTTAACTCTTTGTTAATTTTAAAAGTTAAATAAATTGAAAAATATTGTGCAGGGCAGTGATATACAGTCTGATGTATTCTAGTCTGAAGCAAGCTAATGATTTGAAAAACAAAACTCCACTGCATGAAAATAAATGGGTATTTCCACCCGCCAATATGGAAACTTTGAATAAAATTTAACTTATAGTACTGAGGAATAATGCAGCTACATATTAGGTAATTCCCAGAATCGTTTCATTGATTTCAAAGATTATCCCTGTACATATAAACAAATTTTACCTCTTGGTAATATTAGTATCATCAACAGCCTTTAACAGTCCACTGCTGGACATAAGCCTCTTCTTATTAATAATATTAGGTAATACTAGCTGACCCGCGCAACTTCGTCTGCGTCTCTCAATAGTAATAAATTTTCTCAGTTTTTGAAACATTCTTCATTGGTGCTCCGCTCCTATTGATCTTAGCGTGATGATATATAGCCTATAGCCTTCCTCAATAAATGGGCTATCTAACACTGAAAGAATTTTTCAAATCGGACCAGTATTTCCTGAGATTAGCGCGTTCAAACAAACAAACAAACAAACAAACTCTTCAGCTTTATAATATTAGTATAGATTAGTATAGATGAATATAAATACAATACTTCAATACTATATCAATTTATCAACTATTTTGTTGCTCTGGAATTACTGCATGTTTGTGGTGTACATGCATTAATGTACCACAATATTGGACTTTCAAGTATTGGTATTTATCATATAAGAATGTAAGTATTTATGTTAGTTCCAGGTATAAGATAAGACACACCAACAATGAAGTATCAATAACTCCGAACTGATAAAATCTATTAGATACTGGCCTGTTGGCCTAGTGATTAGTGACCCTGACTGCTAAGCTAGAGGTTGTGGGTTCGATTCCCACCCAGAACAAATATCTGTGTGATGAGCATGTTCATTTGTTCTTTGTCTGGGTGTAATTTATCTATGATATGTATGTATTTAGAAATATATAAGTATGATTATCAGCAGTCTGGTTATCAAATAGTCGTGTGTGAGATGTCTGAGGTTAATATATTATATACTTGAGGTATTAAAAGGGAAGTGATACAATATATTCTGTTTTTTAAATCGAGGGGCAAACAAGCAAATGGTTTACTGGATGGTAAGTAAGAACCACTGCCCATGAACATCTGCAACTCAAAAAACTGTCAAAAAACTCAAGTCTGTTGCCTCCTTTTAAGTGCCTCCTAGAATTTAGGAGGGTTGTAGTAAATATAGAGCTTGTGCAGAATATATATATATACAGAAAACTGGAAATGATACTAGACAAGAATAATAAAAAAAAGCTTAAGCAGATTTATGATCACAGTTCCACATTAAGAATCTGCTATAAACTAGCTTTTGTACGCGACTCCGCCCTGCGTGTAGGTCGGTTATTGCTTTAAAGGATGATGTCTGGGATAAAAACTAGCCTATATCCTTTCCCGGGACTCAAACTATCTCTATATCAAATTTCGTCTAAATCGGTTAAGCGGTTTAAGGGTGAAGAGGTAACAGACAGACAGACAGATAGACAAACAGATGCAGTACCTAACTTTAGTGCCTCACTAAATTTATTGAATTTATGAAAGTTTATACTCTTTATATTGCATTCTATCTTTGTATAATTCTTTTATTACATTACTCATAAGAAACTGTCATATAGGAAATGCAGTACCTAACTTTAGTGCCTCACTAAATTTATTGAATTTATGAAAGTGTATACTATATACTCCTTAAATCTTCTTTAAAGTTACTCATTCTATCTTTCACTTTATATTTTCCAGGTACCCGTTTCCGGCCCTTATCTCTTGATACACCAAAGCCACTGTTCCCTATAGCAGGCCTGCCTCTAATACAGCACCACATTGAAGCTTGTGCAAAGCTGGAGGCTTGCAAAGAGATCTTGATCATAGGCTCCTACACCACTAGTCATATGCAGCAGTTTGTCACAGACATGGCTAAGGAATACCATGTTATTATCAGGTAAATTGAAACTACACATGGACGTAGATACGCAAAAACGATCTAACCCACAGTATGGTTGAAAATGAGGCAACCCCATATTTACTTAAATTTTTCTAAAAATGTTTATTTATTCCCAATAAAAGTTATTTCTATAAAAGGACACAAATTTTTACAGCTATATATAAAATCAACAAAATCAATAAATAGAATATCAATGAGCAATTTAAACTTCAATCTTCAGTATCTTCTCAAAAGTATCATTTTGTGGGTTGGATCCTTTTTACGTATCTACGTCCACATATTGTAGTGGTCATTATTAATCTTTAAATGATTGATATCAAATAGAGCTAGGAGAAACAGACTGTACTAACTGGTGTTTAAGTATAATAAAGTAGCTAGTACTTTATATATTAAAAGAAACACTCTCTAAAATCTCTCATAATATTCGTAGCAGTCAGGGTCACTAACCACTAGACCAACAAACCAGTCAAAATAATCTAGGTTGTTTTTTTTTTTCTATTCCACTATCTCTGAATTTCTAATAGGTATGTTAGGGCTAATAGGTATGGTAGGTATATATCAAACAAAATAGCTATGTTAAAAATTGTACTATGTTGGTTTTTTATAAAGCTAGAAGTACTTAACCGTGTTTTTAAATATCTTAGCTTAGGTAGGTAATTACTTTTAGCCTACCACTGCACTATAAAAGAGCAGTAAAGAAGTTCCGATGGAATTATCTACTTTGACCAAGCACTCCAAGTTAAATTCTTAACTTACAGATACCTACAGGAATTCACTGCCCTTGGAACTGGAGGAGGTTTGTATCACTTCAGAGACCAAGTGCGCGCTGGTAACCCTACTGCCTTCTTCTTGCTCAATGGTGATGTGTGTGCTGACTTCCCACTGAAAGACTTGTGGCATTTCCATGAAGAGAAGCCAAATGCATTAGTAAGTTCGGTTATCTACCATATATTTTTTTTTTGTTTTTCAAAAAGACGAACTCCCGCGTTAGGAAAATATCCTGTGTCGCAGGGGACTTTACAAACATACATCTTTATTGTATACACTCAAAAAGAAAATAACAAAAGATGAGTTACAAATAAGTAGACGTAACAATCGGCGGTCTTATCGCTCACAGCGATCTCTTCCAGACAACCTTACACGGATTTTAGGTATTTAAAAGTTTAGGGTAGTATACATACACGTAACACAATATCACGTGAATATTTAAAAAAATATCTATAATCTACTTAAGAATATACAAATTCTAGTTCAGTACTTAAGCGTCTGCCTATTTTCTATTTATTTATCTTAAGAGTCAAATTGCTGCACCCCAGTACCTTCTAGTGGAGACTAATTAGTAAAGTAGATGTGATGGTGGACTTATACCAGACAAGGACAGCTAAAAGTCAATCAAACAAGTTACATTAAACTTTAAGATTAAAAATAGCAGTACCCAACTCCATTGTTCTATCAATATCATTTCGATAATTGCAGTAAATGTAGATGCACAAATAATTCTTTGGTAGTGTTACTTTCTTTTGTAGTACACATTTTATCCTTTCTACTACTATTTTTGCTCGTGGCTCCGCCCACGTGTATGTATATGTCGCGGTATAAAGCAGCCTATGTTACTCGCTGATAACGTAGCTTTCCATTGGTGAAAGAATTATTAAAATCGGTTTAGCTCTTTAGGCGTTAAAGCGTAACAAACAAAATCACTTTCACATTTAAAATACCGATACTAGTTTTTGCCCGCGGATCCGCCCGCGTGTATGTCACATTAAAAAGTAGTCTATGTTACTCGCTGATAATGTAGCTTTCCATTGGTGAAAGAGTTTTTAAAATCGATGTAGCCGTTTAGGCGTGAAAGCGTAAAAAACTATTAAACTCACTTTCACATTTATAATATGTATTAGCTGAGACCCGCGGTGTTACCCGCGTTTGTTGTTATAACCGCGGGAAACGCCGCGGGGCAAAGCTAGTCTAAAAAAAGTAGCCTTAGTTACTCCTTATGTCATCAGCTATCTGCCAGTGAAAGTCCCGTCGAAATCGGTCCAGCCGTTCTAGAGATTACCCGGAACAAACAGACAGACAGACAAAAATTGTAAAAAATGATATTTTGGCATATGTACCGTGTAAACATACATAATATGCATTTAGTAAAAAGCGGTTATTTTAATATTACAAACAGACACTCCCATTTTATTTATTTGTATAGATAAAGGACTATTCTTATATACCATTTCATTTTTTTATCAACAGGTAACGATAATGGGCACTGAAGCAACACGCCAGCAGTCTGTCCACTACGGTTGTATGGTCTGCGAGTCCGGTAGTAAATCAGTAACCCATTATGTTGAGAAGCCCAACAGTTATGTTTCCACGTTGATCAATTGTGGTGTGTATGTGTGCTCGCTTCAAGTTTTCCATACTATGGCAGACGCGTTTCAGAAGAAGCAGGATAGGTTTTACAGGTAAATTATGTTTCACTCGTTTTTGTTGTTGTCGTTTGACTGGCCTGTCTCACGGTTAGTGACCCTGACTGTCTGGAAGTATTGGGTTCAAATCCCACCCCAGGACAAATACTTGTGTGATGTGTGATCATTTGTTCTTGTCTAATTTTTCTAAATATTTAGAATTTTTAAGTAAGTATGTTAATCAGTAGTCTGGTTACCATACCATAGGCTCTGTCTAGTTTAGGATTAGACTGCCGTGTGTGAGATTTGTGATGTTATTATTACAATTCTTTTATTTTAAACGGACACAAAGAACACCCACATCCCCGATGGTTCGATCCCCACATGGGACGACACTTCGTGTGATCCACAAATTGTTGTTCTGACTCTGGGTGGTCTTTGTGTCCGCTTTATGTATGTTTGTAAAGTCCACCGCGACGCGAAGCGATATATTCCTAGTGCAGGTATTGTCTTTTAAGAAAAAGAAAAAAATGAAGCTTCGTTCCATTCGATATTAACCATTGTTTGTGTGTCAGATAGCTCATTATTGGAAAAAGCTATACTTTCACTAAAGTAACCTACTAAAGTATTAACTATACACCATAGGGCCAGGCCATCATCATAGTTACTTCATAATGTTAGTCGCGTGTACAGTAAGATTATATGCTTTCAGTGGCAATGGGCACAGTAACCCCGGCTATATGTCATGGGAGCAAGATGTGTTGGCACCTCTGGCAGGAACTAATAAATTGTATGCTATGCAGGTATGTTCTTAGGTACTTATTGAATGCTTGACTAACCTTGACCTTTTGACAGCAGCTTTTAGTCCAGAGAAGGTTTCGCCCGGATTATTGTTATTCGGGCGAAACTTTTATTGTTAAAAGAATCTGTTTTATAATCGTTCAAGGAACAATTGACTGTAGGTAAACCGTTTCAAACTCATCGCTCTCTATTGACAGACCGTCGGATATAGACATACACGGCTTCCTACTGCGGATTTCACCTGTTGGTTCAGCGCATAGGTACCTTGCGGCGGAATGTAGTTCTCTGTACTACCATCCAGCTTTCCCTGCACTACTAGGCATATAGGTCTAGTGATTAGTGAGTTAGGTTCACTGGGTCAAATGTCATGGGTTCAATTCCCACCTAGGACTAATAGTGCTGTTCATTGTCAGGGATGTAATTTGTTTGTATTAAATATATTTAGTAATAAATTAATATATTTATCAACAGTCAGATTACTTATGATAATCTCTGCTGCGATAAACAAAGTTAGCAAAAATTAGAGGTTTATTTGTTTACTGCTGCCTATAAGCACTTGCAACACCAATGCTGACTTTCTACGAATGGTTAGCTATTAGGACAACTATTCATACGAAAACCAAATAGATTTTTACATATTTTTAATTTCATTATTATGTTTATTTGTAGGAAACATGGTGAATTAATGTTGTTTTACATATTTAGAATTTTTTAATATATCTATTAATACATAATATAGTTGCATCGATTAAATCGGTAAATTAAAAACAATTTCACATTGCAACGACAGATAACAAAAGATTTCTCTTTCACTTACAATTAAAACCTATTTTTATTATGTTGTTTCACTTTAAGGTAAATAACTGGTGGTCTCAAGTAAAAACGGCCGGTTCAGCGATATACGCAAATCGTCACTATCTGGAGTTGCACAAGGAGCGTACGTGTACCAACGCAACGTGCACGGTATTACCCGACGTGTTCGTGCATCCAACTGCCACCGTGGACCCCACGGCTGTTGTGAGTCATCTACCTGTTTTATATATGATTATTCTATAGAATGTTTACTTTAAATGATTTAATAGAAAGAATTTGTGTTACGTATTAACTAAATGGTTAGTTGTGTTTCAAAAACAGAAGTCCACATTTTTTCAATAAAACACAATAATAGTTGAATAAAAGAGTTTAAAAATACAAGCTGAAAGCCGGCAGTTGGTATCATACCTATATAATAATATTATTATCATCATTTTGCCAACTTTATTTAGGGTCAGTTTTATGGCGGGCCAGCTATCTTACGCCATCGCTAGGAGCCTTCCTAGCGTTGGTATAGGTACTTACCTATGTAGTAATTTAGAGAGATGTCACAAGTCCGTTGCCGGTGTGCTGCGTCGACACTGCGAAGTCTTAACGGTGACGTTCTGTAGTTCTACATAAAAATCAGAATGACATGCCACACGGTGAGTTATAACAACGCGTGGTGACGAAACGACGTCGCCACGAGGACGCACATAACAGATAGGAATTAGGGAGACGAGTCGAGGGGGGAGGGTGCGGTGCAATGACGCAGCGAAGCGTAGTACTTAGTAGTAGTAATTAGTATTTTTAGAATATCGAAGGTGATAGTTGTGCACGTTTAAAATGCGACGCAAAGCAGCGACATCGCAGCGCTCTTATGACATCCAGTGCGTTGAAATGACGAAGTGCATCGGTAACGCCCGTATAGCATCTCTCTTAGGCTAAGGGAGGTGCCTCATTAGTGCGTTGCGTTGCGTCGTTTTCCATAATATATTTTTGTGTCGCACACGACGACGAGCAAACACTATTTTTTAGTGAAATAAAGGGAGATATCTAGAATCTTAGAATAAAATCAATAAGAGAACACGTTTGTTCCGATCCATTGCGGAAAAAAGACTGATATCAACTATGACTGACGTAATTTACTTGTGGCGGACGTGAATATTTTAGCTCTAAATTTTAAAAGGCACTTTGTTTCGCTTTGTTATTTTTATTGCGTAAATAACAGTCGAGATACAAAAAACAGTACCGAATATCTTGAATGATGACAGGAAAATGTAGACAGGGAGAGTTGTTGACTATTAGCTGCCACACTAACACCATAAAGAGATACACGTAGTGTTAGTAGTAAATTTAGTACTAGATTATTAGTAGAGATAGTTCTGATGAATTACGATATTAGAAAGAAATATACCATTAGTTCTAAGCACAAAGGTTATTTAATATTTTATGATGAGTATTCTATAACGATTTGTTGCAGATAATATAATAATATTATACTGAGGTCTTAAATTATGTAGAGTCATCTAAGTTCTTGGCTTTGACATCATTTTTAGACAGACAATTCAAAAATATTCACACACCATTATCATCATTTTAAACAAAAATTCAGTTCGTGTCTGTGTGGTGACTGATTAAGAATACAGAGTGTCAACACCCCTATTCATCCCGTGGTTGTCGTAAGAGCCGACTAAGGGAGCAAACCACGCAGGACAACAGCTCTGCACAGAGAGGGAAACCTTAAATCAAACCCTATACCAACCCGTATGGCCAGCGTGGCATGGTAGGCCAAAACCTCCTTTCTAAGGAGAGGCCTATGTCCATCAATGGACTTTTAAAGGCTATTGATGTGAAACGAAAATTATAAGTTTAAACCTATCTATTATATATTTCCTACAGATCGGTCCGAACGTGTCAATCGGCGCTGGCGTCACAATAAAAGCCGGTGTTCGGATCAAGGAGTCCATCGTACTGAACAATGCTACCATCAACGAACACGCATTAGTCATGTATTCAGTTGGTAAGTTATATGCATAGATTAGAATTGATATTTTGTTATGAAACTGAAATGGATAATTACATAAAGTACACTAAACCTCGCGGCGGCCTACCTTGGCAGTCAGGAGGAGCTCCAGGAACGCATCGGCGGCTTCTGGAGTCCTCCCTGCCATACCCCATGTCTTGCACCATGTCATACACCCTAGGGCGGGAGGCTGCCGCGCCTTTCACTGCTCTATACAGTAGGAGGCGCAACAGCGCCCCGCCATGGACAACACCCCCCGGCCGCACCGGAGTGTCATCTCGGGTCGTTTGCAGCGGCCACATAGAAAACCTAGTAAAATAAATTAAATTATTAATTAATTAAAGGACCAAAAACCTAGTAAAATAAATTAAAATAATCTTCGCAGTTTATTAATAATAATAATGAAAGAACCTGAAAAACTGTTCTTGACTTATGTTGTTTAAGCAAGAAAGTGGTAACTAATGTAATTTAACCAAAACAATCCTAGTTATCATATTTTTATTGCTTATTATTGACAATTACACTTAAATTTAACTTATTAACATTTTACATGTACAATTTGTATTTATTGATATCTTTATTGTATACACAGAAGGAAAACTTGATACAATCCCTTTTTTTTTTTTTTTTTTTTTTTACGTGTGGAAATCCCCTCGGACCGTCACCCCGCCGGGGCTCTCGTTCGGCGGGGTGGTGTGTCGGACTCGAACCGACTAAAACCACACGGTGTGCCCTCTTTGCGCTTTTAGTGTAGGAGGGGTCCAGGTAGCTATCTCCTTCTGGACCCCTCCCAGCGCCGGCCCGCTCCTGGTGCGGGCTCCGTCTCAGTGGACCCTCTCTTTAGGCGACGTCCGGCACACGCGGACGCCGCCCCCTCGCGGCTGGCCACCTAATGCGGGTGGAGGGGAGAACCCATCCCGTCCACCCGCGGCCACACTCAGGGCGGCATGAGGCGCAGGTAGGCGCGCCTCCGCCGCCCGGTTCGCCGGCGGCGGATCAGGTCCGAGTGGAGGTCATCCTCCCGGGCCTTCTCCGCCGCCTCCTTCTGCGAGATTACCTCCTCGCAGAAGGTTGCGACCGCGGTAAAACAACTGTCGCTACCGGCCATGGAGCGAATTACGGCCGGTAGCGAGAGATCTGCTCCGATGACTGCAGTGAGGGCCCGGCGCTGCGTCGCCCATGCGGGGCAAACCGCCAGCGTGTGCTGGGCCGAATCCTCACCGCAGTCGCAGTGGTGGCAGGCGGGACTCGATTCCCTCCTAGCGACCGAGTACAGGTACTTTCCGAAGCAACCGTGCCCGGAAAGCACCTGCGTCAGCCGGAAGGAAAGGGTCCCGTGCTGCCGCCCTGCCCACTCGGCGATGACCGGCTGGAGAGCCTCCACGGCGGCGAAGCCAGCGCGTGGAGTCTCCAGCCGGAACGACCATCTCACCATAGTGGCTCGGCGAGCGGCTTCGCGCCACTCGCGCACGTCTTCGGGCGGAGGGCGAAATCCGCTCTCCGCCCGGAAGTCAGCCACTCGCCGATAAACTTCGGCGAGCACTTCCGCCTCCAAATCCCACGGGGGTGTTCCGGCCAAGGCGCAAGCCGCCTCGGTGGACACCGTGCGGTATCCGCGTATGGCTCTGACCGCCAATATCCTCTGGGGGCGCCAGAGGCGCGCCCTATTCGGGGCGGTCAGAGCCGCCACCCACACCGGTGCACCATAAAGCGCCATGGACCGGACAACCCCCGCGTACAGCCGCCTCGTGGGAACACTGGCCCCGCCCAAATTGGGCAAAAGTCGCCCTAGGGCGGAGGCAGTGTCCACCAGCTTCGGACCAAGCTGTCGGAAGTGCTCGTCGAAGAGCCACCTACCGTCTAGGACCAGACCCAGGTACCTCATCTGGGCCCGGACCGGTACGAGGACCGAGCCGACCTCGATTGAGGCGCCGGCGGGCGGACCACGACGGGGCCCATGGAATAATAGGGCCTCCGTCTTATCCAGGGCCACCCGCAAACCCAACGCCTCAATGCGCCCGACCACCAGGGAAACTCCCGTGGCGGCCAGGCGCGCCGCCTCCTGGAAGTTAGCCCCCCGGGCCGTGAGCAAGGTGTCATCCGCGTAGCAGATTACACCCAGCCCGGGGGGGAGACGCCCTCGTAGGGCCCAGTCGTACCCGATGTTCCACAGGAGAGGTCCTAGGACAGACCCCTGCGGAACACCGCACGACATGGCCCTGCGTCTCAAGACGCCATCTCGGTCCTCGTACATGACGGTTCGCTCCTCAAGATAGTCTGCCACCAGCCGCCTCAGGTACTCCGGCACTCCGTGGTAGCGGAGCGCTTCCCTGACGCAGCTGAATGGCAGACTATTGAAGGCGTTGGCGATGTCCAAGGACACCGCCAACACCACTCCGCCGCAGCTCACGGCCTCCTCGGTCACGGCCCTAAGGCGCATTACGGCATCGATCGTCGAACGCCCCTCTCGGAAACCGAATTGGGCGTCCGACAGATCGGGGCCAACCTCGCAAAGGTGCCGGACGATGCGGGCAGAGAGCACCCTCTCAAAAAGTTTACCCGCCTCGTCCAGCAACACGATAGGCCTATAGGCCGCGACCGATTCGGCAGGCCGTCCCGGCTTCTGCAGCAGGACCAGCTTCCCGCATTTCCAGCGCTCAGGGAAGCGTCCGGACGCCAGGCTAGCGTCTAACACTTCCCTGAGGTGGTCCGACATGTAGTCGAGGGCTCGGGCCATCACTCGGGCTGGAACCCCGTCCGGCCCGGGGGCAGTGTTCTTGGATCTAATCCGTAGAACAGCCGCCCCCAACTCCGATTCCCTGACGGGCGGAACGTCAACCTCGCTGCCCCCGTCGTCTCCGGCCGATGCAGCCATCGACGGGGGTGTGTGCTCCGCCCGCTGCGGGAATAGGCCCTCGACCACTCCCTGCAGGAAGCTGGGCTGGAGAGTCTCCGTAAGGGGGGGGCCCGACGTGCGGAGCTTTTGACGCACCGCACGATAAGGGCGACCCCAGGGGTCACGCTCGAGACTCTCCAGCATCTCCTCTCTACATGCATCCTTGGCGCGGCAGATGGCCAGCCTCAGAGTTTTCCGAGCTTCTCGGTACTCCTCATGAAGCCGGTCCACCTCCTCACCGACCCCGCGGTGACGTCGCCGACTACGGGTGAGGGACCTCCGGGCACGTACACAGGCCGCACGGAGGTCCGCCAACTCCTGGGACCACCAGTAGACCTCCTTCCTTGGAGGCCGACAACCACGAACGCGGGGCATGGCCGCATCGCAAATCTGCGTAATCGCATTGCAGAAGCGACCAGCCCCCATGTCGACCTCCTCGGTCGGGGCCTGCGGAGACAGCCAAGAGTGAATAATGGCCGCCTCCTCTAGTAGGTCCCTGTCGAGCTTGGCGACAGCCCACCGCGGGAAGCGGGAAGGGCGCCGCGCCGCGTGACCCCTACTGGGGTCCTGGGACCGGGAGAGCTCGAATCGGATGTACAAATGATCCGAGAGCGTCTCGACCTCTTCCAGGACACACCAGTTCCTTACTCGTGCGGCGACTGCAGGGGTAGCGAACGAAAGGTCCACTATCGACCCCCCCTGCCGTCGCACGCACGTGTTGGTGGAGCCTCTGTTCAGCAAACAGAGGCCCACCGACGCCGCCCACTCCTCGACGGCTTCGCCCCTGGCGTCCGTCGCAGGGGAACCCCACGCAATGGACTTTGCGTTGAAGTCCCCCAGCACGAGGACGTGCCCAGACACTAGTCGCCGCATCGAGGCCTCCAAGTTGTTAAGGAAGACCTCGAAGTCGTTCAAACTCCGGTTGGGGGAGAAATATACACCATAAATGGTGATTCCCCCCCAATCGGCGGCAACATATCCAGTACCCTTGTCTCTTAGCGACAAGGGCGGGGAATGAGCCGCCGTGGAGCCGACGACTGCCACGGAGATACAATCCCTATACCAACCCGTCTGGCCAGCGTGGTATAGTAGGCCAAAACCTCCTTTCTAAGGAGAGGCCCATGTCCAGCAGTGGACTATTAAAGGCTGTTGATGTGATGTGATGTGATTGTATACAGTTAATACACAAGTTACTTACAAATTTATATGTAGACGTAACAATCGGCGGTCTTATCGCTCACGGCGATCTCTTACAGACAATCTTAATACTAATATTAGGTATTTAAAAATTTGTATTTAAGTACTTGTTTTTATTTTGTTGTTTGTGATTTATTGTGATGTACGTGATTTATACCAAAAGACGCATTTACCTTTGAGAAATAGTTTACACCAAAATAATATATGTATGTTGGAATAAAATGTCACTTAAGAGGTTTTTGAAATTACAGATTCAATTATTATTATACCAACATTTCTTTTAATATTGATATCCCAATTTGAATTTTGAATTTAGGATTCAAAATTCAAATTCAACTGCTCGTTTGACTGGGGTTAAAATTATAGTCGAGAAAATGAAAACAACTTTCTGCTCATGTTTACATAATAAATAATATTCGTTAACAGTGGGTCAAGAAGCATCAGTGGGCGAGTGGTCCCGCGTAGAAGGCACTCCTTCAGATCCTGATCCCAATAAGCCGTTCGCGAAGATGGACAACACTCCACTTTTCAACACTGATGGAAGACTGAACCCTTCTATAACAATATTAGGTAATTATAACTTAAGCTTTAACGACAGGATGTGGACTATCATAGTGGGATTGTCGTGCTCATCGAGCCTTTCTCGTGAAGGCCTGAGACCCTGGGGTTTCTAAACAAAATAGGGTATGTATCATTGAATACTAAAAATGTGTGAAATTATAACTTAGCTCAGTTTATATGAAGATGAAAAACTGTTTTGTAAAAAATATAAAAATATAGAGATCTGATTGGTTATTTTAATATTACCTGGCGATGAGTTAGAACTAACGGAGTATAGAAATATGAGTATTTGTTATTACCTTCTCTTAAACCATTAAAAATATGTGCAGCCAGTTCAATCTAGAATTTAAAATCTGTCTGGAGAGTAAGACTTTTTGAACTTATATCATAAGACAAACTGTTAGAAAATAGTTACAAAAAAAAATTAAACTAATATATTTAGGAGTATCCACGTTAATAAAAAAAAAGACAAATATATTGTTTCACAACAGAGCATTAACATTTTTAAGGTTGCTGTTTGGTTTATAATATTAGTATTTTTTTTACAGGTGCAAGTGTGGTAGTGCCTGCTGAGACGATCCTCCTCAACTCAATAGTGTTGCCACATAAACATCTAACAAGGAGTTTTAAACACGAAATCATATTATAGTAATGCTACATGGCAACATTAGCAGTCTTGTGTGACGGTCATGAAGAAACCTAAGATTTTTTGTATTTTAATATATTATCTATATATTTGTAAAGTTATAAATGCAGTAAGTTTGCTAACGTGTAATATTAATAGGAGTGAGATTCCTTTTTTATGTGTACTACCTATCGTCGCCTCCGACCACTTCCTCATCATCATCAACAGCCATTAATAGTCCACTGCTGGACATTGGCATCTTCTTAGAAATTAGTTTTTGGCCTACTATACCACACTGGCCAGACGGGTTGATGTTGGGTTTGTGTCAAGTTTGCCTTCTCTTTGCAGTGCTGTTGTCCTGCGCAGTATGCTCCATTTTTTTTCTCGCTCGTTTTTGTTTTAATTTTAGTAGAGCTTGGTGTATAACAAATATTTATGTGATTGCTAGGTATCATACCTAGCAGAAAGTGCTTGAATGATAACTACCCTCAAAGTTGAGTCTACAATTATTTAAGTTTTCCATGCCCTGAAGTGCCGGATAAACCTTTAGTAAACTAAAATAATGTAAATAGTATTAAAGTAAATTGTATGAATTCGGCTAATGATATCACTATTGTATCCTGACTGATCAAGTGACCAAAATTAATAGAGGTAAGAGGTAAAATGTAGGCGGGTTTCGAACTTTAAATAATACATGTATAAATAGAATGCTCATGCGCATCATAATAGATATAAAATATAAAGATTTATATTAAGGTTCTGTAATTCTTACAGACTAATACTACCTCTTATTGCTGGGACTTCCTACCCGACATACCCAGTATAACCGAGTCCCTGGCAAAAGCTTAACACGTGATGGAACATCGTGTGACTTTAGTCAGTTCGATTCTGACATAAGGCTTTACCGTGAGTCCCTGTGAGGTGTATATATAGATATTTTCGACTTAGTTATAACTTTTATAGTTTTGTTCTTAGCTTTGACTTTTATTAGCCACAACTTTTCATCACAACGAAGTTTATTTATAATATTCTTCTTTTAAACAAGGTATCAGTGAATATTAATTGTACTAGTGGCGCCTCTAGTGACAAGACTTACGTACTACTATCTAAATGAATAATAATAATATTGTTTTATTACAAGTAACGATGACTCATTTTTGTTAATATTCTGTTTGTAGAGACAATTTGCAATCTATGCATTATTTAAATTTTTGTATGTGGAAGGCGATGATTTCCGTGCGAAATCATCGCTACCCTTGTTGATGAGAGAAATATCCAGTAGTGACCAATGTGCCTATAATCTAACCTCTGCAATCATAGCTAGTATGCTGTTAGAGCTAACCCGCACCCTGGGAACCAAACATGCACATCGTTTTCGAATAGCAGTTTGAAAGCAGTTCACTCGCTCCTTTGCGAACGTCCCGGATGCACTAGAGAAAAGGGTTAACTCCAATGCCTAAACGCGTTGTTGTATTAGAGACGGAAGGGGTTGTAAACTTTTCGAGTATATCTACGGGCCTGTTGGTCTAGTGGTTAGTAACCCTTACTGCTAAGCCGGAGGTCCTGGGTTCGATTCCCACCCTTGACAAATATTGTATGATGAGTACGGTCATTGTTCTGTGCCCAGTACACCCATTATTATTACCTAGCCCATAGGCTGCGTGTATAGAAAGAGGTTTTTTTTTACGCGTGGAAACCCCCTCGGGCCGTCACCCCACCGGGATTTGCGGCGGGGTGGTGTGTCGGAATCGGACCGACTAAAACCACCGTGTGCCACTCTGCGCCTGTAATAGGAGGGATCCGGGCACTGCTTCGTTAAGACATCCGGATCCCTCCTAGCGCCTGCCCGCAAAGGCCTTCAGGTACATTCTCTATTTCGGCGACGTCCGGCACACGCGGACGTAGCCTCCTCCCGTCCACTCGCGGGCCACACTCATTGCGGCATGAGGCGGTGGTAAGCGCGCTTCCGACGCCCGGTTTGCCGGCGACGGATTGGGTCCGAGTTGAGGTTGTCCTCTCGGACCCTCTCCGCCGCATCCTTCTGCGAAGACGTCGTAGCGTATAACGGCCGGTAGCGACAGATCCCCCCCCGATGACTGACAATGAGGACCCGGCGCTGAGGCGCCCAAGCCGGGCAAATAGCAAGCGCAGTGGTGACAGGCGGGACTCAATTCCTCCTAGCGACCGAGTGTAGGTACTTCCCAAAGCAGCCGTGCCCGGAAAGGACCTGCTTCAGCCGGAAGGAAAGGGTCCCGTGCTGCCGCCCTGCCCACTCGACGATGACCGGCCGGAGATCAATGGAAAGACGTGCCTTTTATGGGGGTAAATTTAATTTAATGCTTTGTTTAGTATAAAAGTAAATGAAAATCCTATAGATGCGAATGTGAATTTTGTTGTTTGTTACGATTTCACGCTATTTAGAACGTTTATCTAAAAATAAGTAATATTCTAGATGACCTTATAAAAATAACTTTTATGAGTGCGAATACGTGTGAAAAAGTTAGTATAACTTACAAAAATTATAAAATTATTATTTAATGGAATCTATTAAATGCACTTTCATAATAATACACATAATGTGCCAGTTTTAAGCATATACCTAATTCCTTACTAGATTAAATAATTTAATTTTATCTTTTTCCCCCTAATTACAATAACTCTGTACTGCACACAATTATTATCTTTTTTTTCATAAATGTATATAAAACTATATTTTTAAGTACTTTGGTGCTCCGAATAAATGATTGTGCACAATAAGCGTTTTATTTAATTGTATCGTATTAATAATAATAACCGTTTTATGTTTTTTTAAAGATAAAGATTCATTATTGATATTGAGTCCGGAGAGATTATAATTGATTTATCTAAAAATTACATTAGATTTATTTATCCATACCAATTTAAATTCGAAAGTGTATCTGTCTGTCTGTTTGTTACGTCTTCACTCTTAAACCGCTGAACTGATTTAGACGAAATTTAGTATAGAGATAGCTTGAGTCCCGGGAAAGTACATAGGATAGTTTTATCATAGAAATCAAACTTTAAGGGAGTGGACGTTTGTATAGGTAAACAATAAGCGCTGGACTGATTTAAATGAAATTAGGTATGGAGATAGTTTGATTCTTGAGAAAGGACATAGGGTACTTTTTACAGCGATTACAGAAAACCAGTGTTAAACAATTCTATCGTTGCTTATATACTTCCTTTTTATGTTTATATTTATGTTAATAAACTTCCTTTGGAAATTAAAAGCACCGTGTGCACAACGAAATCCAAGTCAAATCTTAGGGCATTTCTTATCGATGGATGTTTCTTTTTAATTCATAATTTTACGAAATGACGTTTTGTAATAATCCTTTATTTATTGCCCGTTTTCCTCATAGACCAACTAATTGTCATGAGGATTTTAAATCGTTCCCATTGGCACATCTAAACAATTTTCAATTAATATTAGTTCCTAGATACACAACGAATTACCATTGACGTCAAAGATTCATCTTTATGCATAAGCATTTAATATCAATAATACACAATTATCAATAATACTAGGCATGTCTTTTAAGTTCTGTCGTTTTCATATTTCCCGGCAATTTTGGTTTTTCGACTGGAAAATTTAAACACATTCGAATATAGAACATATTCGAATGTGTTTAAATTTTCCTGTGTGAATCTCAAAACAGTTGAAAGTATTAGGATTAATGCTATTGTTTAGTCACAGCGTCGATTGGAATCTGTCAGGTTACGTACGAAAATGAATCTTTCTAAGGAAAATGTTCGTGCAATAATTTTATACAACTTTAGACCAGATTGCCTGACACGGCTTCAGTGTTTTGAAGAGCTAACATCTGTATTCAGTGATGAAGCCCCATGTCTGCGGACTGTCGAACGCTGGTATTTAGAATTCCAGCGTGGACATACTAGTGGTAGTGACAAATCTCGCGAAGGACGCCCAAAATCCGCCTTCACAGAAGATAACATCATTGCTGTGAGACAACTGATTCTCGAAGATCGTCATGTGACGTATCGAAACATAGGGTCTCTATTAGGCATCTCAGGGACAACCATTCAGAAGATCTTGCATGAAGCGCTTGGTGTGAGAAAGCTAGTTTGCCGTTGGATACCGCATCTGCTTACCGACGATCACAAGGCGGCCCGCGTCAGATGTAAGAAAACTCTGCAAAGGTTCAACCGAGGAGAGTCAAATCACGTCTACGACATCATCAGTGGTGACAAACAACAATTTACAATCTGGGTCTTTCAAGACGAGCCAAAGCCGACTAAAGTTGTTCGTTCTCGAAGCACTTCAAAGAAGATAGTGGCCACGTTCGTTATAAAAACCGGCCATGTTGCGACTATTGCACTTAAAGATCGTAGAACGGTTAATGCAGAGTGGTATACCACAGTTTGTTTACCACAAGTCATCGCTGAACTTCGAAAATCTAACTCAAAGCGACGCATCATCCTGCACCACGACAACGCAAGCTCACACAGCGCTCGTCAAACGATTGAGTATTTGAAGCAGGAAAAAGTTGAAATTCTTGACCATCATCCATACAGTCCTGACCTAAGCCCTAACGATTTCTTTACATTTCCTAAAATTAAGAATAGTCTTCGTGGTCAAAGGTTCCAGTCCGGTGAAGAAGCAGTCGACGCTTTTAAGTCAGCCATTTTGAACACCCTACTTTAGAGGGGAATAAATGTTATAATAACTGGTTTGAACGAATGGAAAAGTGTATTAAGCTACGTGGTGAATACTTTGAAAAACAATAAAAAGTACTATAAGGTTCTAGTTGTGTTTTTTTCTTCAAACGACGAAACTTAAAAGGCATGCCTCGTTCTCCATACTTCGGTGTCTTCGACAGATGGCGCTGTAGCATGTTTCTGTTTCTTTGTATGTGGAAGTCGCTACAACTCCAATTATTTTGGAGAGAGGTCACACAGATGAGGCAGCGGTAGCCACTTAACATGTATCCCTGATCGTTTGCCCCTAAACCATAAAATATTTATTATAATTACATAATAGT